GAACAGAGTTTTAGGCTCTAGGTCATCAGGGAAGTTCCAAGAACATCATTTTTTAAAAAGAAGCCAGTGGGAGCCTAATATCACATAATCAGTTAAAGGTAGAAAATTCACCAGTACCGGGTTTCCTTATTTTTCCCCCATTCCCTGTTAGTAATTGTAGGGTTAATGGGTAACCTTTCCTTGAAACACAAGAGAAAGTACATCTCATATGGTTTCCCCCCTCCCCCTGCCAAAAAGTGATTAAAAGTTTGTTTTTTTAATGTTATGTAAAAATGTTATTTAATCTATCTGGTCAGGTAACGTGGTCAGAGCTTTTGCTTGTCGGAAAAAAATATACCTGTTGTTCTGTTCCCAATTCTAGTTAGAAGAACATTTACCCATGAGCACTTAGAACTATGGGGAATGTGGACTCCATTCATTCATTCACCTGTTCATTCATTCAACACATTCAACACATATAAATAAATCACCTAAGTAAGGTATAATAATAGAAGTATAACATGAATTAGGGGCTGAACAACAGCCACACTATAATACTATTATTATTATTACCGACAAGCGCCTTATGCATTTGTGGGCTGGCTCACACTTTCCACAATGATTTGTTTTGCTCTTGTTCTTCCTCCAGTTGGCACATGTTGCCTGGGAGCTTCTCAACGCAACGTCTTAGGTGGTGCTCGTTGGGCAAAAAGGTGACATCCAGGTTTTCCAGAACAATAACATGCGAGGTCTTTTACGACCTTTTATGACTCAGCCTGGCAGGCAGCAAACTCCAGGCGCTGCTCCCTCCACGCACCTTCTGTAGGTCTCCCAGCCTCAGGCAAGTGCTACCTTGCCTTCTTGCACAGAAAGCCTAGGGGTGCTGAGGTTCTCCTCCCCCACTTTGATTATTTCTTTATTTCGCTGAGTCTGGGAGTCTTCCATCATTTCACAAAAAAGGATGCCCTCTTCATTTTGGAGCTATGCTCCAGCCAGCTTCAAAATTGGAAAAATTCTTCTTTTTTTTAAAATTGAGCTATAGTTGACTGAAGGTTTCCCTGGTGGCTCAGATGGTTAAGAATTTGCCTGCAATGCAGGAGACACAGGAGATGTGGGTTCGATCTCTGGTTCGGGACGATCCCCTGGAGAAGTAAATGACAACCCACTCCAGTATTCTTGCCTGGAGAATCCATGGACAGGGGAGCCTAGTGGGCTACAGTCCATGGAGTTGGAAAGAGTTGGACACAACTGAGTGACTAACACATACACATAGTCAACTTACAATGTTTCATGTTTATAGCAAAGTGATTCAGTTATCCCTAAACACGTATTTATCTATTCTTTTTCCGATTCTTTTGCATTATAGGTTATTACAAGATATTGAACATAATCCCCTGTGCCGTTGTGTTGTACAGTAGGTCCTTGTTGGTTATCTACATTTTCATGTGTGTATGTTAATCCCAAACTCCTAATCTATCCCTCCACCCCCCTTTTCTCCTTTGATAGCCATAAGTTTTCTTTGTCTGTATATTTTTGTTTTGTAAATAAATTCATTTGTATTCTTTTTTTTATTTCACCTATAAGTGATATCACTTGTAGAAAGATGATTTTCATCTTTCTCTGTCCAACATACTTCATTTAGTTTGATCATCTGGGGGGGGGGTGTGTGTGTGTGTGTGCACGCTCAGTTGTTCAGTTGTGTCCAACTCTTTGCAACCCCGTGAACTGTGGACTGCTAGGCTTCTTTGTCCATGGATATTTTCCAAGCAAGAATACTGAAGCGGGTTGCCATTTCCTACTCTAGGGGGTCTTCCCAGCCTAGGGATCAAACCTCCATTTCTTGTATCTCCTGCAAGGGTGATTCTTTACCACTGTGCCACCTGGGAAACCCCCATGATCATCTCTAGGCCCATCTATGTTGCTGCAAGTGGCATTATTTCATTCTTTCATATGGCTCAGAAATATTCTGCTGTATGTATATACACACACCACATCTTCTTTATCCATTCCTCTGTCAATGGACATTTGCGTTGCTTCTATTGTAAACAGTGCTGCAGTGGACATTGGGATGCACGCACCTTTTCAAATCAGAGGTGCTGTCTTTTCTGGGTATCTGCCCAAGAGTGGAATTGCAAGATGCTATGGCAATTCTGCTTTTAGCTCCTTAAGGGACCTGAATGCTGTTCTCTAGAGAGGCGCACCAAGCTACATTCCCATTGTCAGTGTAGGAGGGCTCCCGGAGAAACTCAAATGATGCAGAAAACAATAAAAGCTTCCAAATGGAGGAAAGAACAAGCTTTTCAGGTGGCCCTGGGGAGGGTAAACATGTCTAGCCTGATTAATTTTCTAGTTCGGGAACAGTTGCTGCCAGAGCGAGCCAAAGGTGGGGTTGCTGGGCCTGCACGCGTCTCTCTCCTGCCCTTGCCTGCAGTCACGGGCAGGGAGGCAAGGCTGAGCTGTTCAGTCTCAGCAGCAAAGAAACAAAAAAAACCCCAAAACGCCTGGTGTCTGTGCTGGAAAAGCAGGTCTTATGGCCTCACAGGAAGGAAAGGAAACAGTGGTCTTTCGCTGTTACAAGTGTTTTGGTTTTTTTTTTTTAAACTTCTCCTGTAGGGATTTTTCAATACCCAAGGGCAGACAGGAAAGACAGCTATATTTTCAAAACTCAGACAATGCTGCTTTAAGTAACAGATTGAATACCAAAGAAGTATGCTGAAAGTTCCTAATTGGCTAATGTCTGTATTTCTCAATAGAGTAATGTTATTAACGTCTACCCTCTGAGCCTGTAGAAATCTGAATCCCTTTCTTGCCGGCCAGTTGGAAATAATAATGTAAACAGACTCTTGTGGCCTCATTAAGTCTTGTGTCTGAACACTTTGTCAAACTGCAAATATTTAAAATATTTTAATATTCTTTTAAGACAAAAAGGCTTTGCCAAACTAGGTATTGAAATTACTCTCTGTTGTTTTGAAACAGAATAGATTATGGCCTGATATTTAAAGGTATTATTTGGAGGGAGGAGGGAAGCAGCCTGGGATTCAATTTTCCATTATCTTGAACTATGGAGACACTAAGAATTAGATTAATCTGTTCTGTCCAGCTAAAGGCTCCATCTACTTTTTCCACTTAGCATAAAAATCCAAAGGTGGGTTCCATGCAGAGTTTATTTGTGATAGATCTTAGAGGATGAGGAGAATTTAGTAAGGGAGGGAGAAAAATAATGTATGAGCTGGAAGAATGAAAAATGTGAGCAATAAAAGGTAGAAGGAAAACCTAGCATGGCTCAGGAAGTGATGAGTCATTCAGTTGGAGTACAGAGTGCCTTGAGTCGTGGGGATTAACCTTGCTTTTCCTGCCTCTGCTGAAAGCAAAAAAATCAGCATATTGCTCTATTAACTTTATTGATAGCAAAGTAGAGACTTTTCAAAAGGGAGCAGGGAAGGGGCATTAAAAAACATTTTTTTCTTCATCGGGTGGGGTGGCCATAGTGCATTACTGCTACAGAGTGAAGGCTCAGAGAGTTACTTTCAGATCAAAGGTGACGGGAAATGGGAAGGCAGGCTGTAGTTGCATGGGAAGTCATCATAAAGAACATATGTTGATCTGCATGAAAAAAGAAATGGCCACTCACGCCAGTATTCTTGCCTGGAAAATTCTACAGATGGAGGAGGCTGGTGCACTACAGTCGGAGGGGTTGCAAAGTGTCAGGCACAACTGAGCGACTTTCACTTTCACTTTTCATTATAAAGGTACAAGGCAAACAGGATGGGTGGCGTATGCTCTAAAACCCTGAACTCCCCAACCGTTTGGGGGATAGTTTTTAAGAAAAATTTTGGGATGAGGGCTGCAGGGCGTGTGACTGTTCTTACTGACTGGAAAGCTGAGCGCTGAAGAATTGATGCTTTTGAACTGTGGTGTTGGAGAAGACTCTTGAGAGTCCCTAGGACTGCAAGGAGATCCAACCGGTCCATCCTAAAGGAGATCAGTCCTGGATATTCATTGGAAGGACTGACGCTGAAGCTGAAGCTCCAAATCCTTTGGCCATCTGATGAGAAGGAAGAACTGACTCATTGGAAAAGACCCTGATGCTGGGAAAGATTGAAGGTGGGAGGAGAAGGGGATGACAGAGGATGAGATGGCTGAATGGCATCACCGACTTAATGGAAATGAGTTTGAGCAAGCTCTGGGAAGTGGTGACGGACAGGGAGGCCTGGCGTGCTGCAGTCCATGGGGTCACGGAGAGTGTCTGAACTGAACTGAGATGGCAGGACTCTGCTCAATCTGAAGTTACCATCCTCTACCTGGGAGGGGCCCTAGATTCTGCAGATAAAATACACTGTTCCCTGTTTGCCCTGAGGTGGAACCAGGACCCTGCCCCAAGGCTGTACTTCTGTTTCTTGGCTCTTCTCCCCTTTTGTCTGCACGCTGCCCCCTCCCTCCCCCCGCGATTAGCAACTGTTTGAATCTGCCCTTTGGAGGGCAGGGAAGGTCAAGGAGGCTGAAAGTGAAAGTGAAGTCGCTCAGTCCTGTCCGACTCTTTGCGACCCCATGGACTGCCATGGACTGTAGCCTACCAGGCTCCTCAGTCCATAGGATTCTCCAGAAAAGAATACTGGAGTGGGTTGCCATTTCCTTCTCCAGGGGATCTTCCCAACCCAGGGATCGAACCCGGGTCTCCCGCTTGTAGATAGACGCTTTACCGTCTGAGCCACCAGGCAATCCCGAAGAAAGCTTATTTCCTACAAACAAGAAATAGGGGCCAGGGAGAGGCCGTGTCCCGGGGAGGACCCCAGGGGGTCCTGCGCTGTCTCAGCCCTCGGACAAGCAGCACAGGGAGAGAGGGACTGCGCTGATCCGAGTCACAGGACACGGAAGCCTGCACTTTGAGATCCCCTAGGACAGGGACTCCTTTCAGCGCCCGATTTGGAAAAGAGAAGGGCGGGGCCCCCGCGGTACCGTCGAGCCAGTTGGATGAGGCTTTCTTTGGGACCTTGTCGCTGCTTTCCCACCCACCCCACCCGGACGCGGCATATTTGAGGATGGAGGCTACCGGGTACACCCACGATTGTGCTGGGAGGGTCGAGGGACCCTCCCGGTCACGGGAAACAAGCGGGGGTGAGTGTCGCAGCCTGTGGAGTGACTAGCAGGAAATGGCACGCGAAGGGCATCATTTCGACTTTTCACTCTTACTGTACTCATTCCCCGAATGACCACAGCAAGGGGGAGGGGGTCGGAGAGAGAAAAACCTTGCGAAATGGAAGGAAAAAGATATTTGAGAAACTAAAGCTTCAGGCGGCGGGGGGAAAGGAATGACCGGAGTTGTAGTGAAACCGGCAGCTGCGGCGAGCTGGGAAGCCGCTGGGAGGGGAAGAGGCTGGGCTTAAGGCAACCTGCTGCGGGGTGTAGACAAAGGCGACTTGGGAGGCAGAGGCCGGGGCGGGATCAGTCGCTACTATCAGCCTGGGGAGAGCGCCAGCGGCTGGACTCCCGCGTGGAAACCCGGGAAATTCACCAGCCTCCCCTTCAGGGTAGGAATGCCCGGAGTATGCACCAAGCTAAGAACCCAGAGGGAAGAAGTAAGTTTGGGAGAGGACTTAACCGATTTTGACGGTCTTTGAACTCTGAACTCCTCTTGGAGGCATGCCTGCGCCGATGCGTTCCCTCTTCATCGTTTCTGTCTCTTGTGTCATCGTTTTCATCGTGTTTTGCGTGTTCAACTTTGGGGGAGAGCAAGGCTTCCAGAAGCTAAATAACTCAGACACTTGGATGCTGACTCAAGTTTGCACATCCCTTATCAAAGACAAAACACCATTATTCTGGAGAAACAAACTGATGATGTATGGGAAGTCTTCCTGCAAGGCGTCCGTGACCCAAAGCCACTATATCACGGAGCCCTTATCCAAGGAAGAAGCCGAGTTTCCTTTGGCATATATCATGGCCATCCATCACAACTTCGACACCTTTGCAAGGCTCTTCAGGGCTGTTTACATGCCTCAGAACGTCTACTGTGTACATGTGGATGAGAAAGCGACAGTTGAGTTTAAAGACTCAGTAGAGCAATTACTGAGCTGCTTCCCAAATGCTTTTCTGGCTTCCAAGATGGAGCCCGTGGTCTATGGTGGGATTTCCAGGCTCCAGGCTGACCTGAACTGCATCAAAGATCTTGCAGCCTCGGAGGTTCCATGGAAATACGCCCTCAACACCTGTGGGCAAGATTTCCCCCTGAAAACCAACAGGGAAATCGTTCAGTATCTGAAGGGATTTAAAGGGAAAAACATCACCCCCGGGGTGCTGCCCCCAGCTCACGCAATTGGGCGGACTAAGTATGTCCACCGAGAGCACCTAGGCAAGGAGATCTCCTATGTGGTGAGGACCACAGCCTTGAAGCCGCCTCCTCCCCACAACCTAACCATCTACTTTGGCTCTGCCTATGTGGCCCTGTCCAGAGAGTTTACCAACTTTGTCCTCCACGACCCACGGGCCCTTGACCTGCTCCAGTGGTCCAAAGACACCTTCAGTCCGGATGAACATTACTGGGTGACGCTCAATAGGATTCCAGGTATGTGGGATTCCCTGTTTCACGTGAAGGCAACATTCTGGACTTGAAAGGGCTTTTCGAGCTCCTGCTCCTTTTTGATTAGGAGATAAAAGCTGAAGTATGTAGCTTTCACTTGAATTCTTTCTAAACCCTGAAAGAATGATGTTCTTTAGGTGACAATTCAGTAGTCTAACCAAGCCAAACCAATACCTCTTAGTGGTATTGATCTGCAGTTCGTCGTGTTCTCTTGCATTTATCATCTTATTAAATCTTGGTCGCAGTCAGGATGAATTGCGCCCCATCCCCTCTGGTGTTCTTTCTTTTCCCCAGATTTGTCAGACTTGCTGTAACCCCAGGGCCATTGGCTTGGCCATTCCCCTGCCCATTCCTGGTTTCCCCCTCATCAGCCAGATGTCATCAACTCTGAGAAGCTAAACTGACCATCCCACTCTTTTCCTTCAGAGATTTTCATCATCTTCTGGGATTATTAAATCTACTTATTTACATGGATTTGTTTTTGGCCTTGTCTGCATTAGCTCTGTGAGGCGGGTCATTTTCTATTTTACCTGCTGTATCCTCCGTGCAAAGAACACATAGTAAAATGCTCAATAAAAAGATGAATGAATGAATGAGGCAAAGCATGAGGCTTTACTGTGGCACCACAGCTGTTTCCCTAAGACCCAGTGGGCAGAGAAATATTTGGACTCATGCATGTACCACGTCATAGGCATCACATTTTAAAAATATATTTATTTTTAACCTCAGATAAATAATGAGATTCCAGGAGACGCTCTTTCCTTTCTCATCTAAACAGTTCTACCTGTGCTAATGGACCAGATCAATGATTTTTAAAACTATATAAAACATGATTGGATTTCTTCTGAAGGAAACAGCATGCTTTGGACTCACTGAAAAATACAAAATGGATCTCTGATGAACTCGACAGCATTATTATAGCTAGAGAAAAACAATCATTGTTCTGGTTTTTGGGGGGCTGCCAAGTTGGAAACACTGGTAGGTGCTCTTAGACTGCAGGGCAGGGCCTGCTGGGCGATAAACATGCCAGCATTCTCTGGAAAATGCCGTGTTTGGCCTCTGAGTCCCTGGGTGACTGGCTGGGGAACAGGGCTTGCTCCCATCAATGCACACTCTCTGTCCTGACCTCCCTCTGCCTAGGGCCTCCGCCTTTTCACTTTTAACGTGTTGTTTCCATCTTGGGTGGGGAACGTTAGGTACTTAGAGGCTGGTTTTCATGTTTAAATGTTTATTCCCTTTGTGTTTTCACTATCCTCTTGAGATTTATAATGGTTTGATACTAGCCACGTGGTTCCAGAGATATCATACTGAGATGAAGGCAGTTGTCACTTCACAAAAGCCTGAATTGTCGTTTCTTTTTTTTTTTTTTTTTTTTGTCGTTTCTTAAAAAAAGGAAAAGCATGGGTTTGGGTTAGTGTTAAATGTCTGTGTTTGCTTAGCAGAGGGATGGTTAGACTTAGCAATGTCAAATCAACTTAAGAAAATCAAGGAAAAAATAATCTTTCACCGCCCTCCTCCCGCCCCCTTTTTCCACCTTAGTCCCCTTCTCCTTTCCAGCCCTGGTGAAATAAAGGCAGGAGGCTGAGAATGATATACCTGGAAATGATATACCTGGATAGGCTCAGGAGACAAGACCATTTTTGCCATAGGTTCGTGGGGTAGCTCCCTGCCTTCTGCCCTCTCTTGGTGAGTGTATGGTAGTGGTGGTGGTTTACTCACTAAACCGTGTCTAACTCTTGTGACTCCGTGGACAGGAGCCTGCCAGGCTCTTCTGTCCAAGGAATTTTCCACATAAGTCGTCTCTTGGAACCTCCTATCTCCCCAGCTACAAAATAAAAGACCCAATAAGCAAGACCCGTTTTTTTTGTTCCTACATATGCCTTTTTTTTTTTTTTTTTTTTTGCAGAGGGCACATACTCAGAACCACATAAACACATAGCACGCAGCTATTGAGGACTTGTAGAAAGGCCGAGATACTGGTGAGTCTAGACTCCCTCAGTCTTGTTGCCCCTTGGCCTTGGCAAGTGCCTGTCATCACCCCTGTGGGAAACTGGAGGCGAGGGCTTCGCGCTGAGGACCCTCAGTGATCTGATTCTTCAAGGGATGCCTTTCAGAATATGCCACTTCCCAGGCGCTTGCCACCTTCCTCTCTTACATTCCGGGTGGCATCCTGGTTCAGGGAGCTGGCAGGAGGATATCCTGCCCAAAGGTGGGCCCTTCCCGAATCACAGGTGACAAAGAAAATAAGCCGTCAAGTGCTCTGGCCCCGGTGCTGGACCGCCCCTTCTTCAAAGGCGATGCCAGTGCTCCAGTCTCTCCAGCGGTTTTCCACTTGAGCGTTCCCTGTGACTTAGGATCAGGTGCGTGAACCTGGTTCTTTATTAACAGGCACCCTTTGCCCATATCAGCTCTTCCCTTCTCCGTGTCATGTTTTAAGGGGAAAAGTCCTTTGATAAACACAGCATAAACATCTTTCTCCAAGTTCAGATAGTGCTTTTCCTTGCCTCCCTCAAAGTTTCCTTCTCTCTCTGTCTCACATATCCTAAAAGATCTTTTTTTACGTAGTTATTTATTTACCTCCTTGGCTGTGCCAGGTCTTAGAGGGATCTTTAGCTGTGGCTTGCGAACTCTTAGTGGTGGCAAGTTGGATCTAGTTCCCTGACCAGAGATCGAACCTGGGCCCCCTGCATTGAAAGTGCAGAGGCGTCTTAGCCACTGGACCACCGGGGAAGTCCTGCTAAATATCCTAAAGTGTTTGTGTTAGAAAGACCCTGCACAGACATATCGTGCTCCCTGAAACACCCACAAAAGGACTGGGACCATGAACACCACTAGGATCCTGTTTGTGAATGATATCAGAAAACTAAAGGAGAACAGTTTAAAATGAGTGACTCCGTGAAAGTATATTCATTGAGGTAGGACTGAGTCGCATATCCTCACACTGCTTTTTTTTTTTTTTTTCTATATTGTCTTTCTATTGAGACAATGAATTCTCTCTTGGTTTCCAACACTTAGGTTTTCTCCAACTCTGTTAGAATGAGAAATGGTGCTGGCCAGGCCAGAGAGAGTCCTTCTTTGGGGGAGGCCAGGAAGAGCGGCTCTCATTCCACCCTGTGTGGCTGTGTACAGATGGATTATCTCGATTTCTACCTTCTGGCCACATTCTCAAAGGAACCCTCCAGGAGCACGAATTTCTCTGACTCATGCTATAGAGCGTGGGGTTTAGGGTGAGCCTGAGGCTCTATCCTGTGCCCCCGGTATGAATTCTGGTTCCTGCTAATGTTTTCGAACTTCTCCAGTCATTGTTATCACTGCTGTCTGTCACCTGAAAAGCCTGTTTTCCCTAGTTTTTCTGGTTATTCCCATAGCATTTTCTTTGGCTTGTCTGCCCCAGGGCAGAGTGCCAGAGACCATTGAGATGTTTTAAGTCTTGTGTGGTTGTTGAGTGTCTTCAGAAGCCACTTCTGGTCGAGTTTTTTCACAGTCCCTTCCACCAGAAGCTCACTTGTCTTCTGGTCCCACTTTACAGTGGATCTAACGAAAACCTAAAGCTAGACTTCCCTAGCGGTCCAGTGGTTAAGACCCTGCCTTACGGTGCAGGAAACGAAGATCCTGCACGCCACAGCTAAGGAACCTGCGTGCCGCAGCCAAAAAAAGGGCTTAAAATAGTTCGAGAAAAAAAGAAAAGGAAAAGGCAAAACTGCTCCATGCTTTGGTTTCGGCTCCGTTTTACCCCCACCCCCTGTTCTTTTGGATTTTTCCTCATCATTCCTCTGACCTTTCTCATGCCATGAGGCCTTTCTTCCATAAGAATGTTTTTTTTGCCTTTTCCTCTTTCCATTTTGTATACTTTTGTTTCTTTTGAGCCCCTTCGTCAAATAGATTACCTCAACCTCAGAAATGACCACATTTCCTCATCTTTCAGTACTAAAAATAGCATGTTTCTTACTTTGATTTATTTTGCTTTTTTAACTTTGAGTTTTATTTATACACGGACTTTCTTTGGGTGTGTGTTATGACTCTTCGAGGCGCATGTGACAGAAATGCACCTCGAAGTTGCTTAAACAAACGCACCGGGATTTACCGGATCGTGTCAACAGAACTGAGGTGTCCAAGGAAGGCCTCCAAGTAAAGCTAGACCAAGGCTCGGAACAGTGTATTTGGGATTCTAATACACCAGAGTCCTCTCTCTGTAAGGTGACCAGTTGTCCCTGTGTGCACATGTCTGAGGGAGCATCTTGGGCATGGGCCTTCCATGCTAAAGCCAGGGAAGTCCCAGTGTGGTCTGAGATAGTCACTGTATCTCTGAGTAGACGGTTTTCAGTTTCTCCCTCCCCACATGGTGTCAGAGAGACTCAGAAGTAGCCCCAAGTGTTTGCTTCTCACAGCTGGCCCTCTTGGGAGAAAAGAAAGGTTTTTATTCCTGACAGTCCCAGCAGCAGCATCAGAGTAGCCGTGTAGCACAGATGTTGAAAGCTGGACCCAGGAACCGACCAGCTGCTCTGCCATTTACAAGGCATGTAACTGGACAAGCTACCTAAATGTGGGAGCCTCTGTTCCCCCATCTGTAAAATGGAGGCAATAATGATGTTTACATCAGATCTGTGAGGCTTCAATGAGTTTGGCCAGTGCCCAGCACATATTTTGAGTGTTCATTGTTTTTATTGTTGTTACTGTTATTATTATCATATTCTTCACCTGTAATATAGATATTCATTCAGTAAATTTATTTTATTGAAATATAGTTGGTTTACAATGTTGTATTAGTTTCAGGTATGTAGCAAAGTGATTCACTTATGCATACATACATACATATCCCTTTTCAGATTATTTTCCCTTACAAGTTATTACAAAATTTTGAGTACAGTTTCCTGTGCTACACAGCAGATCCTTGTTGATTATCTGTCTTTTTAGATGTTTATTTGGCTGCCCCAGGCCTTAGTTCTGGCACGTGGGATCTTTAGTTGTGGCACGCAGAATCTAGCTTCCTGACCAGAGATCAAACCCAGGGACCCTGCATGGGCGCACACAGTCTTAGCCCTGGACCACCAGGGGAGCCCCAGTTATCTATTTTATATGTAGTAGTGTGCCTCTGGGCTTCCTTGGTGGCTCAGATGGTAAGGGATTTGCCTGCAATGCAGGAGGCCCAGGTTCAATCCCTGGGTTGGGAAGATCCCTGGAAAAGGGAATGGCAACAACCCTCTCCAGTATTCTTGCCTGGAGAATTCCATGGACAGAGGAGCCTGGTGGACAAGATTGGGCGAAGACTGGAGGGCAGCGTGTCTATGTTAATTCCAAACTCATAATTATCCCTCCCCCCACCCTACTGAGCACTTGGACACTGTGCTGAGTCTGAGATAGAATAGTGAATAAGCATATTCTGGGCTTCCCTCGTGGCTCAGATGGTAAAGAATCTCTCTGCAATGCAGAAAACCTGGGTTCTATCCCTGGGTCAGGAAGATTCCCAGAAGAAGGGAATGACTACCCACTCCAGTGTTCTTGCCTGGAGAATCCCATGGATAGAGGAACTTGGCAGGCTACAGGCCATGGGGTCACAAAAGAGTTGGACACGACTGATAGTCGGACTATCGCC